CCCCAAATGGCCCAGAATATGCTGACTAAACAAATCAATAAAATGGGCAGGTGGGGCAACACCTTCACATCTCTACTTGGACGCGCCTTAACCCTCAACACCTCTATATTTTCTATGATGTGGTATATAGCCTCAATCTGGACTGTACCAGACAAGTCAATCAAGGAACTCAATCGGGTAGCAAGGGCCTACCTATGGTCTGGTGACCCCAACAGAGTTAACTGCATCCCTAAGATAGCATGGCATTACATCACGAGGAAACCAAGTAAAGGAGGATTGGGGATCATCGACCCCAAACAAGAAACCAAAGCMYTTCAGGTCAAATGGATCATTAAACTGCTTACAAAACCAGGCACAACTTGGAATAAACTAGCCCTGGATAGCATCAGAGRACTAGCTCCGGTACCTACACCAACAAACATGYCAGGTCTCTTCTGGGTYATGAACAAGGAATGGACACCCAGCACAGGACGTAGAAACCGCCGACAAGGTAACAATCACCCGGAGAACAGACCCCCCACACCCTACTGGACGTCCCTGCTAAGGATCTGGAGAGAAATTATGCCGAAAAARGTYGGCMGGCCCAAGACGAGAGAAGAGGTACTGAGGCAACCCCTCTTTGGCAACCCCTGGTTGAGAGATGAAAGTGATCACCCCTTCGCTCTCAAGCTAAGAGGCACATGTTGGCTATCCTGGATAAAGCACGGAGTCTGGAAAATCGAACATTTATGGAATGAAGAAAAAAGGGATTGGGTAACAGACATTGACCTTGCCGCCCTCCTCAAGGGCTGTCACCAACGGGAGAGGAATCTACAGGCCATCATCAGCAACATTCCGGAAGGATGGAAAGATCTCTTAAAGAGCCCACCAGCATGGAAAACGGGTGAATGGGGGGTTCGGCTACAGGAAATGCCCCCCTCAAGGGCCTATCAATTCTCACACAAACAACAGGGTTCAAACACTGTTGCAATTTTCAATTCCTATCCAATATCGCTGTCGGTGCAGGGTTCGGCCTCCATCGTCGATAAGGATGTAGTAAGAACAAATCTAGACGTCTTTCTGCTCAGGAAGGTAAGAGTTATGGGCTCCTGGCCCAAATCAATCTTTAGGATGGACACAGCGATCCAAGAGTTAGAATTCGACCCAGCAGAATGGGCATGGACATCAGGAGTGAACAAATACACGAAAACAGAAATCCAAGACTACTCGGTGAAGATGGGATACAGACTATTCATTAAAACCAAAGATCCGGAACCAATAATCAAAAGCAGATGGGCAAAAGTAATCGGTCAAGAAGCAGACCAAATCACAGAGATTCCTTGGAAGAAATATAAATCAATCAAGCCGGTCAAAATCAGGAGTCTCCAATGGCTGATAGCTTATGTAGCACTCCCGGTCAACCAGTGGCTCCACATTCGCAGAAGGAAGAACGATCCCAACAGTTCCGACCGATGCACAATATGCTCAGAAAATGAACCGGAAGACCTACTTCACTGCCTAATCCGATGCAAAGAAGCAACAGAATACTGGGCAAGGGCGTCGGGTCTCTGACCTACTTCACTGCCTAAT